AAACAGAATGAGTGAAGATTGGGTGAAGTTCAATGATGCAACAAGCAGGCTTCATGACAAGAGACGTCGCTGCCACTCCACAACGTTACACCAAAATAATTGTTAAGTTAAACACGTTAAATCAGCACCACTGATTGCAGCACAGCATCCACTGGACTTTGTTTCCGGCCATCTGCAGTAACTGGAGAGTCTTAAACCAAAATTCTTGATCATTCACTGTGAGACAAAGAAAAACAGCAGTGCTATATCCCTCCACAACAGCACAGCATGCATGCAACCTGATGTGACGTACCTCTTAATCACAGGACTTGGCTGTTCAAAAATTCAAAGTCTAATGTTTTGCCAAGAGAGGTCTTTGAAGGACATTTGGAAGTATATGGCAGCACTTGCTGTGCTGGTGAATCCCAGGGGGGTATTGACAGACTTTCCTAGACCAAGAAGAGTCTGCATGCACGGCACATGTCGGTGTGACGATGCTATCCTGGATGTCTTTCACAGGACCTACTCACTACTGGACAAGTTAAGTTACATCACAGGGATTCTCACCTTTCCTGAACATTTAACACCATCCAGTCCTCTCTTTTGAGGGAAAAGCTCAAAATAATTCAGATCGAAGACGTACGCCACGGTGTCTGCATCACAGATTACCTCACCAACCCACCACAGTATGTCTGCATCAGTAACCACATATATGATCTGGTGCTAACTAACACCTGGGCTCCCCAAGAGAACTTTGACCATAACCCCACCCAGTTCAATGAGTATATAGATCGAATAATACGAAGATATGAGCTGAACAAATTGCATATCTATTCTGTGGACTTCTGTGAACGGAGATATGAAAGTGTAATTTTACTGTAGGACACAAGAGGCCAGTAGATCCCCGTTAGGTTTTACGGTGCCCTACCGTGCTCCGTTGTGTTCTGCTTTTTCATTGAACGAAAGTTCTGTCAGTGCTTTCAAACAGTTGTAAGGGTATGTGTGTTCAGTGTATGGAATGTGTTTCAATAGATGATCTAGAAAGACTTCAGGGTGCACTAGTTGAGTTCCAGTAGCAGAATGGAACACACCTGATGTGAAAAGCTTCTGGTGTACAAAAGAAAAACTAAAGACAGACCAGAAACAATGAAATGGGGCGATTTTCCTGCTACTTTGAGAAAAATTTGGCACAATAATGATTAGTTGAGACAATTTGAATGGGATAAATTAAGATATATTAGTAGAATCTTTTTATGGAAGAATTAATAAAAAAATACAATAAGAAAGACTAATTTGCATCTATATTTGTTCAGAATAATAATTATTATTATTGTTAATTGTTTTTTTTTTGTAGCTTCACTGAAAAAAAACGGGGGGGAGTTTTGTTTTGATTAAATACATCTTTTGTTTAAGAGGACAGTCCTCTTGCTGAGATATCAAGCTACTGTGATGCTGGTTGAGATTCATATATAGGAAGTGTTATCACATTTATTATCAGGGGAAGGAATACATATCTTTTGTCTGAGCAGAGCCTGTATTGTAAATTGTGTATTAAAATATAAAACGTAATTTAAAATATATATTTTTTATTTCCTGCTAGAGATCGTAACATTCACTTGACAAACCCAGCAAAAAGCAATAAGAACTACATGGTGCTTCTTGTTAGCTAGACCATAATGGAATAGATACTACTCAGTAAATGTATTAAATTAGTCATTTAACTTTGAGGACAGCAGAAAGGATGTTAAGACATATAATTAAGAAATTACAAAAATCACTAGGAAATGAAAGAAGACTGCATTACTGTTGTTGCGAAAATAAGTAAATGTGTGAACCAAGACAGATGGAAGACAAATTGTACTTCCTTGTTCTTTGAAATATATCAGCTGTAAAGATAGAGTAAATGTTTCACTGACTAGATAAAACTTACCATGGAGAGAGAAATGAATTGTGCAACATGACAACAAACTAACTCCAAATGTATTATAGATTATATATAATGTAGCCTACAATAAGAAGTCACATTCTCATCTATTACAATAACAGTGATCTCGTATACCTCGTATGGCCACCTTAAAAGGCACATTCATTGAAATAGAATTTTCACTTCGCAACATACTTGTTGAGCTGTAGACTGTAGAGTTGGAGAACCGTTTGAAGAACACCAGATCAGGACCTTCAAAGCTTTGGGCCAGAATGTAGGAGTAGAGGGTTGTGTGTCTCACCATTCTAATAAATAGTCAATTGTCCTGGTCAACAACCACACAAATGTTAACATCAAGAAAGTCTGGGCTGGAGACCACATGAATAAGTTCTCCTCATCAGAAGCCTGCTCCCATTGCACATCAAACAACTCCAACTCCCACATAAAATCTGAAAAAGAGCCAAAAAAAATTACTCCACTTCAGCTCCTGTGATCATCATCATCTATTCTGGAACATTCCTGTGATCATCACGGAAAGGCTGTGTTTCTCTTCACAGCTCACAACATCTATCATTCCATCTCCTGTAACCGCTTATCCTACTCATGGTTGTGTGGAGTCCGGAACTTATTCCAGAGGATATGGGTGCAAGACAGGGAACAACCCAGGATGGGGCACCAACCCATCACAGGAGACACTCACACACCAGTCCCCCACACTCACACACTTAGGGGTAATTCAGTAGCTCCCATTAACCTTTGTATGTTTTTGTATTGCGTAAAAAGATCTCGGTGCCACCAGACCCACAGCAAGACATTTCGCAGGGAAATCTAGCAGCTAAAGTGTAAATATGCCTCGGACTGTTACTTGCTGGAAAACTGAGAAATTTATATTTAGGAATGCAATGTTTCCAAGAAATTTAGAATCATGGAATTAATATTGTGAAGGGGATCCATCCATCCATCCATTTTCTGTACCCGCTTATCCTATTCAGGGGCACAGGGGTCTGAAATCTATGGGCGCAAGGCAGGGAACAACCCGGAGATTTAAAAAATTTGTACACAATGTGTTTCCCTCTCAAGGTTTCTCCAGAGGAGAAGGTCACATTGTAGCCTTCGAGGAGGACACCCTGATAAGGCTAATGGATAGAATTTACCCCATTCCAGGAACTGCAAATGTATGTAGAAAACTAAGTATTATTCAAAAGAAAAAACATTGTTAAATACAGAAATTTCCTGTTCTTCAAGATTCACATTTTGTTGGTGTGACAGTTTGTTGGTGTGACCTTAAAATTCCATCCATCCATCCATCC